GTCTATAGTCTAGTCTATAGTCTAGTCTATAGTCTAGTCTATAGTCTAGTCTATAGTCTAGTCTATAGTCTAGTCTATAGTCTAGTCTATAGTCTAGTCTATAGTCTAGTCTAGTCTATAGTCTAGTCTATAGTCTAGTCTATAGTCTAGTCTATAGTCTAGTCTATAGTCTAGTCTATAGTCTAGTCTATAGTCTAGTCTATAGTCTAGTCTATAGTCTAGTCTATAGTCTAGTCTATAGTCTATAGTCTATAGTCTAGTCTATAGTCTAGTCTATAGTCTAGTCTATAGTCTAGTCTATAGTCTAGTCTATAGTCTAGTCTATAGTCTAGTCTATAGTCTAGTCTATAGTCTAGTCTATAGTCTAGTCTATAGTCTAGTCTATAGTCTAGTCTATAGTCTAGTCTATAGTCTAGTCTATAGTCTAGTCTATAGTCTAGTCTATAGTCTAGTCTATAGTCTAGTCTATAGTCTAGTCTATAGTCTAGTCTATAGTCTAGTCTATAGTCTAGTCTATAGTCTAGTCTATAGTCTAGTCTATAGTCTAGTCTATAGTCTAGTCTATAGTCTAGTCTATAGTCTAGTCTATAGTCTAGTCTATAGTCTAGTCTATAGTCTAGTCTATAGTCTAGTCTATAGTCTAGTCTATAGTCTAGTCTATAGTCTAGTCTATAGTCTAGTCTATAGTCTAGTCTATAGTCTAGTCTATAGTCTAGTCTATAGTCTAGTCTATAGTCTAGTCTATCTAGTCTATAGTCGTCTATAGTCTAGTCTATAGTCTAGTCTATAGTCTAGTCTATAGTCTAGTCTATAGTCTAGTCTATAGTCTAGTCTATAGTCTAGTCTATAGTCTAGTCTATAGTCTAGTCTATAGTCTAGTCTATAGTCTAGTCTATAGTCTAGTCTATAGTCTAGTCTATAGTCTAGTCTATATAGTCTAGTCTATAGTCTAGTCTATAGTCTAGTCTATAGTCTAGTCTATAGTCTAGTCTATAGTCTAGTCTATAGTCTAGTCTATAGTCTAGTCTATAGTCTAGTCTATAGTCTAGTCTAGTCTAGTCTATAGTCTAGTCTATAGTCTAGTCTATAGTCTAGTCTATAGTCTAGTCTTATAGTCTAGTCTATAGTCTAGTCTATGAAAGTGTTTTTGCTGTGTATAAATGTAAAGCTTAAATTACTATCAATGCTCAAAGAATTTTCTTAAAGTATTTCAAATTTTTTAATAAAAAACTGGAGTTTTTGCTATTTTATACAAAACTTCTCTCAGTTGTTGTGGTTTTAAAAGCCATTAAAAACGTAATTCATGTTGATAAACCAGTTTTTTCTATTTTCTTAACCATAGACATGTGTCTTTTTGTTATTGCTTGATTTTTCCAACTACTTCGAGCCTTTTTTCCAGTTCAGTCCAGCGCTAGAGTGTTATGCCAACAACATAATAATTTCATTTTGTATTCATGGTTTTTCTTTGCTGACATTTTAACTTATTACCACCAACATCACCACGGACGGACTGAATAGTTTTGCATAATGTTGAGATACTAAATATGTATGTATGTATCTATAAGTATAATGTTTAACCACACAGTTTAATGCTTTTAAAATTTAAATTCTTTTTATTTGTAAATATAATTTACTTAAAGCTTTTTATAGATTATCTCTAGAATGTTTGTGGTTAAAGAAAATTAGAATTTTAAATTACTTTATTAACATTAAGTGGTCAGATTAAACAAATTTTAATCAATTGCAATGTCTAGCAAGAAATTAAGACAGATTTTACTAAATTTATCATTTATTTAGATTTTACTAATTATCAATTTTCGGGAAATAGAAAACGATACTTTCAATCACAATCCTACAGAATTCTTCTTCTCACGATTTAAATTTTTACCGTAATTTGTATACATAACCCTATTTTTTCAATACTAAATATTGAAATATACCAGCTTTACCTAAAAAAAAACCGTTACATTTTTATGTAAAGGGAAAATAATTTCTCATTTCCTTGTTTTCTTTATTACGGAAATTAAAAGACTTGTTACAGCAAAATTTAATGGAAAATAAAAACAAAAAAAAAAAAATATTAATCATAAAAAGGGCAAAAAAACGTAACTGTATTTGTTATTATTATTATCACTTACAATCGCCAGTGGCCATTTTTTAAAATCTAATTAACACATAATTCCGTTTTATTATGAATATTTCAGCAGTAAATAGAAAAAGAAAATAATTAAATTAATGAAATCATACTTGATTACTATAAGTATGGCCGTAGGTGTTAAATGTTGTAAAATGCTTTAAAATTAAGTAATTTCAAATAAGCCAGCAAAAACTTGGTAACGCTTTTCATTTGCAATTGCTTACGTAACAACATACTTTTCAATGACTACTACATATCGTTTAGATTACATAGAAGTAGTCTAATAAGTTCTTATTAATAATGTCTTATACAAATACTTTCTAATTCATTAGTCCTCTTGACTGTGAAGCTATAGAAGCTCTATACGTTTTTTCTTGCGTTTTACAATGACTCATTTTTCTAATTACTTGTAATCGATTGTGGTAAGTACTTGCCTCCAATGACATTACCGTGCTAAAATAATGACTTAAAATGCTATTGTGTAATTTTTGTATTTTAACCTCTTACATGGTAATGAAAGTTTTTGCTGGGAAGTTTTAAAACAATTCTTAATTATAAATATTTAAACGAACATATAATACCCTACTCCAACTATGAGTATATTTCAAGTGATATTCAGAAAGATCTTTTTTGGAAACTACCCAGCAAAAACTCGGTAATGGCTTGTACTTACATAACCATTTACTTTTCAATGACTACTACTTGCCGTCTGCATTACATTTAAGTACTCTTATAATGACTTACATATAACCAGATATGTATGTACTTTATTTTAAGTTTTGAGAAAATCTGTAGGAACGAATTTTTGGTACTACTTCGTTCTAAAATTTAGGGAAAAACATAACCATTCAAATGGTACCTTTTGTTCTTCAGCTGGTACTTATAGAATATTTTACATTATTGAACCTAAAAACGCAGAACTAAACACGCATCATGCTGATTGAATGAAAACTTATGAAAGTGGAGTTTCAGGTACTTTTTCGTCATTCAAATGGCACTTTTTGATGTTTCGAATTATTTAACATAGAAACATAAACTCATACTTAGAAGATCCTGATGGAATAAAAATTTATAACATTAAACTTTTTGGTACTTTTTCAGTCTTCAAGTAGTACTTTTTGAATCTTTTTATGCCCTTACCTTCGTGAGAAGGATATATGTATAAGCTTGCCATTCCATTTGTAAATTCTACAATATAATATGCCGACCCTATAAAATATGTAAATTCTGAATCCTTATAGATAGCGGATTCGATTAAGCCATGTCCGTCTGTCTGTCTGACTGTCTGTCTATCTGTCTGTCTATCTGTCCGTCTGTCTGTGTGTGTGTTGAAATCAATTTTATGGGGACCTCAGATATAATTGCGATCATTTCACCTATTGGTCCTAGCAAACATTTTTCAGATTGTCCATCGGAAGACAGCGAGCGTCCTTACTGCCTCGAAAAAGGGGGATTTCTGGTACTTTTTCGTTTTCAAACTGATACTTTTTTGATAATAAATTACATAGGTTTAGGTAAGAAGGGCAGCCCACTCAACCAAGCATGAGTGGCTCACATGGGTCCACCTAGTTGCGGTCCCGTTGTGTTACCCTAGTGGTCGTAGGAGTTCATTTGACTATTACCCTCTACTTCCAGATTTAAACCATCCGGTTTGATTAACAAAATTTAGGATATTCTTTAGGCATATCCCCGATAGCTCATCCAAACAAGATAAAGAAGCAAGGCCGAAACATTGTTCTCTGCTTTCATTGAAAGATGGACAATAGCAGAGAAGGTGAGGTATTGTTTCCTCTTCCTCCTCATTATTACAACTTCTACAGTAGTCGTTATATTCGAGACCCATTCTTCTGGCGTGATTGTCAGTAGTACAGTGTCCCCATATACCAGAATTCTTATCTGTTCCCTTCGAAAGCTTAATAGTAAGCTTGACCTAATATAATATAAAGAAATAAATTACATACTATTGACCGATCCCGAAGTTGTTTTACTTCAATCATACTTTCGACAGACAGCTAGTCAGTATTTGAATTCCATAAGGTTGAGGCCTATATTTCAATATCTTGATAATAGAATGATAAAATCAATATACAAAACTTTCTAATTTTCAATGGTGTATGTAAACAGTTCAAAGGTCACTTAATTAGACTTATAATAGTATTTGAAAATATATATTTTTTGTTTGGAAAACCATAAAGAGCCAAAGATTACTATTTAATCAGCATTAACAATTAAAAACCACAATAATTTCTAGATACCCCCTATTGAGATTAGAAATAACAACAAACAATTTGTTTATTAAAAAATAAGAAAATAATTTGATTATCTGGCGCTATCAAGTTATTAAAAAAAAAGAATAAATAAAAAGTATTTAATCTATAAATAATTTATGGAATTTTATAAATTAATAAGGTTTATATTCAAAAGAGACTAAGTGAAGATATATCCAAAATTTTATTATGAAATCCCCAGTCAAAGTAGAGTGTTTTTAAGAAGAATCAATAGGATTGAAACGACTTTTAAGATATTTTTTCGAATCAAAGGCCTTATTCATATCAAAGGCCTTATTCATAAACAGCATTTCATTTTATAAACGGTTTATAAATCAAATTTTATATGGAAATTTTGTTTTATAATTTTTTTATAAAATAAAATGTTGTTTATGAATAAAGGGTTTATTCTATAAAATTATTGAAATAAAGTTGAAAAAAAAAGTTTTAACTTAATCTATTTACCAAATCAACAGTTGATATGCAGATTTCTAAAAATACTCCGATAATGCGATAACTATTGTTATTGAAAGCAATTGCATTAATAAAATGTTTTTAACATTTAGTTAAATTTCATTTCTGGCAAAACTTATACAATGGATTTACTAATATTTTTCGCAATAATACTGTTTCTAATAGGATTAATAATCCATATCTCACAAAAACCAATGAGAGATGCTGTAAGCAATATACCAGGACCATATAACTTTCCAATCCTAGGAGCTTTTTATTTAATATTTAAATTGGAACCCAAATGTAAGTTAAAGTAATTAAAACTATAGTATTATAATAAACTTAATTATGAACAATTCTATTCTAGCCGTTTTCAAGACAGCCAACGAATATCGTTTAAAATATGGACAAATTATGAAAATATGGGCTTTTAATCGTTTAATTGTTATATCGGGAGATGCCGAAATTAACGAACAACTCTTGTCCAGCACTACACACATAAGCAAACAACGTAGTTATGGTATTTTGCATCAGTGGTTGGGTGTGGGACTTCTAATGAGCGATGGTCGTAAGTGGCATTCGCGTCGCAAGATTATAACACCAACATTTCATTTTAAAATTCTGCAACAATTTGTCGAAGTCTTCGATCAACAGGCAGGGGTTTTGGTTCAATGTTTGGCTAAAAATTTGGATGGCAAGAAGGCTTTTGATGTTTATCCTTATATTTGTGCAGCAACATTGGATATTATTGCTGGTAAGATGTTGGATATATTACTAATCTGAAGACTATTACATTATTTTTTATATATGTCTATAGAGACAGCCATGGGAACGAAAATAAATGCTCAAACGGATTCAACGATGCAGTATACGTCCGCTGTTAATGAGTGAGTATTAAGGTGTTAAATATTCGAGTGTATTCATGATCCGGAATTGGTCAGAAAGTCAGCATTTAAGGGGGACAAAGTATCTATAGTTTAACTCAAACTTTGGGGCACACTTTTCTTAACTGAGTTTTTCATTCCATTTGTAACGTACCGAAACATTTCTCACACACCTAGAAAAGTATATATATAGATTCTGGGTCCATAGTAGATTGTAAGAGGATTTAGGTGTTAAAAGGCTGAAACTTTTCACAAATATTCTCTATTTAAAAGGTTTAATGGGCATTAGAAATGGAAAATATCGGCCCACGATTCAAGCCCACAGATAAATATCAGTTTTATCTACCTCGAACTGTTCCGAAAAGTGTAGCAAATCCTAGAATCCATATAAGATCACTTTCAGCTTAAGTTTATCTGTATAGCAATGAAATTCGTTTTTGAAGAACCAAAATCACTCTATTAAATTTATTGCGGATCGGCCTATAATTGCCCTATTCCTAAAAAACATCTTATAGAAAAGGGTGGCAGCATTATTTGCTTTTTGTACTTCAAATTCTCTACAGATCGGTCCATAATGGACCCATAAATGCCCTATTTCCAATATCACTCTGATTTTCATATTAATATCGATATAAGGTAATACAAATCTGTTCCAATCTAATAAATTATTAAGCCGGGGTAAAATATGACGAAATGATCGAATCATAAAACATATACTATATAGGACCAATTTCCGAAATTTACTTTAAATTTGGGACACCTGTTTTAATGGTGTTAATATATGATTCGCTATAGCCTAAAGTTCGTTCATCCGTCCGTTGACTTAGACCTATAATTTTCATACGAAAAATGTTCTTCTTTTCAGAATGACCAAATTGATGGCTTGGCGTTTTATGCGCTTGCCCTTAAACAATGAAGTAATTTTCACGATTTTACATCCATTTAAGAAATTACGACAAACTAAACTCATACAAATACTACATAAATTTACTGCCAATATTATCGAAGAAAGACGACTTACGCTAAAGAAAAGTTTACAAGATTCTGCCCAACATAAAGAAAGTGATCAAGAAATAGGTAGCAAACAGCGAATGGCCTTATTAGATGTTCTCTTGCAGTCCACTATAGATGGTAAACCATTAAGCGATGAGGATATACGAGAAGAAGTAGATACATTTATGTTTGAGGGTCACGATACTACAGCATCAGCTATAAGTTTTACTTTATATCTGCTAGCCAGATATCCACAAGTACAAAATAAAGTTGTAGCGGAAATTCATAAAGTTTTTGGGGAAAATTCTACCAAATCCATAACATTACAAGACCTAAATGAAATGAAATATATGGAGTGTGTTATCAAGGAGTCATTACGTTTGTATCCACCCATACCAATTATAGGGAGACAAATTATGGAAGATTTTAAGTGCAGTAAGTTTGAACGAAAAAGGAATTACTAACCTATTGAAACTAGAATTATGCATACATATTATTTAATCATGCAGAACATTCGCGCCTGGGAGATGTTGTTTTACCAGCCGGTACCGAATTTTTTATTACAATTTTTGGCATGTTAAAAATTAAAACCGGTTCTAAGCTCTGCGAAGATTTTGTACCAGAACGCCACTTGAGTACAAAACCAAGTGATGACTTTACTTTTATACCCTTTAGTGCTGGTCCACGCAATTGTATAGGTCAAAAATTTGCCATGTTGGAAATGAAGGTGCTTTTAGCTAAAATTCTGAAGGAATATCAACTGCTGCCATTGGGTGAGGATGTTGCTCCCGAATTAAATATTGTTATGCGTTCAACGACTGGCTTGCAAATTGGCATTAAGAAAAGAACCAGTCGGAGAGAATGTTTTTGCTGAAGAATGGTCCGATAAAAAAATATGTTACAAATTCGTACAAAAAAATAGTTTATAGACTAAAATATGGACCAGACTATAGACTAGACTATAGACAAGGCTATAGACAAGGCTATAGACAAGACTATAGACCTGACTATATACTAGACTATAGACTAGACTATAGACTAGACTGTAGACTAGACTATAGACTAGACTATAGACTAGACTAGACTATAGACTAGAATATAGACTAGACTATAGACTAGACTTTAGACTAGACTATAGACTAGACTATAGACTAGACTATAGACTAGACTATAGACTAGACTATAGACTAGACTATAGACTAGACTAAAGACTAGACTATAGACTAGACTATAGACTAGACTATAGACTAGACTAGACTACTAGACTAGACTATAGACTAGACTATAGACTAGACTATAGACTAGACTATAGACTAGACTATAGACTAGACTATAGACTAGACTATAGACTAGACTATAGACTAGACTATAGACTAGACAATATAGACTAGACTATAGACTAGACTATAGACTAGACTATAGAACTAGACTAGAGGACTAGACTATAGACTAGACTATAGACTACTATAGACTATACTATAGACTAGGACTATAGACTAGACCTATAGACTAGGACTATAGACTAGGACTATAGACTAGACTATACTAGACTATAGACTACATAGACTAGACTATAGACTAGACTATAGACGAGACTAGACTACTAGGACCTAGACTATAGACATAGACTAGCTATAGATCTAGACTATAGACTAGACTATAGACTAGACTATAGACTAGACTATACTAGACTATAGACTAGACTATAGACAGACTATAGACTAGACTATAGACTAGACTATAGACTAGACTATAGACTAGACTATAGACTAGACTATAGACTAGACTATAGACATAGACTATAGACTAGACTATAGACTAGACTATAGACTAGACTATAGACTAGACTATAGACTAGACTATAGGACTAGACTATAGACTGAGACTTATAGACTAGCTAGACTATAGACTACTATGACTAGACTATAGACTAGACTATAGACTAGACTATAGACTAGACTATAGACTAGACTATAGACTATAGACTAGACTATAGACTATAGACTAGACTATAGACTAGACTATAGACTAGACTATAGACTAGACTATAGACTAGACTATAGACTAGACTATAGACTATAGACTAGACTATAGACTAGACTATAGACTAGACTATAGACTAGACTATAGACTAGACTATAGACTAGACTATAGACTAGACTAGACTATAGATTAGACTATAGACTAGACTATAGACTAGACTATAGACTAGACTATAGACTAGACTATAGACTAGACTATAGACTAGACTATAGACTAGACTATAGACTAGACTATAGACTAGACTATAGGCTAGACTATAGACTAGACTATAGACTAGACTATAGACTAGACTATAGACTAGACTATAGACTAGACTATAGACTAGACTATAGACTAGACTATAGACTAGACTATAGACTAGACTATAGACTAGACTATAGACTAGACTATAGACTAGACTATAGACTAGACTATAGACTAGACTATAGACTAGACTATAGACTATAGACTAGACTATAGACTAGACTATAGACTAGACTATAGACTAGACTATAGACTAGACTATAGACTAGAGTATAGACTAGACTATAGACTAGACTATAGACTAGACTATAGACTAGACTATAGACTAGACTATAGACTAGACTACAGACTAGACTATAGACTAGACTATAGACTAGACTATAGACTAGACTATAGACTAGACTATAGACTAGACTATAGACTAGACTATAGACTAGACTATAGACTAGACTATAGACTAGACTATAGACTAGACTATAGACTAGACTATAGACTAGACTATAGACTAGACTATAGACTAGACTATAGACTAGACTATAGACTAGACTATAGACTAGACTATAGACTAGACTATAGACTAGACTATAGACTAGACTATAGACTAGACTATAGACTAGACTATAGACTAGACTATAGACTAGACTATAGACTAGACAATAGACTAGACTATAGACTAGACTATCGACTCGACTATAGACTAGACTATAGACTAGAGTATAGACTAAACTATAGACTAGACTATAGACTAGACTATAGACTAGACTATAGACTAGACTATAGACTAGACTATAGACTAGACTATAGACTAGACTATAGACTAGACTATAGACTAGACTATAGACTAGACTATAGACTAGACTATAGACTATAGACTAGACTATAGACTAGACTATAGACTAGACTATAGACTAGACTATAGACTAGACTATAGACTAGACTATAGACTAGACTATAGACTAGACTATAGACTAGACTATAGACTAGACTATAGACTAGACTATAGACTAGACAATAGACTAGACTATAGACTAGACTATCGACTCGACTATAGACTAGACTATAGACTAGAGTATAGACTAAACTATAGACTAGACTATAGACTAGACTATAGACTAGACTATAGACTAGACTATAGACTAGACTATAGACTAGACTATAGACTAGACTATAGACTAGACTATAGACTAGACTACAGACTAGACTATAGACTAGACTATAGACTAGACTATAGACTAGACTATAGACTAGACTATAGACTAGACTATAGACTAGACTATAGACTAGACTATAGACTAGACTATAGACTAGACTATAGACTAGACTATAGACTAGACTATAGACTAGACTATAGACTAGACTATAGACTAGACTATAGACTAGACTATAGACTACACTATAGACTAGACTATAGACTAGACTATAGACTAGACTATAGACTAGACTATAGACTAGACTATAGACTAGACTATAGACTAGAATATAACTCGACTGAACTATAGATTACTATAAACTAGACTATAGACCGTTTCTTCTACATGTAGCGATGTTGTAGGAAAGTAAAGAAACATCCCGATGTATTTATTACAAAAATTTAATCATGAATGGTTGACTGACCGATGTGTATAAACATATGTATTAACCTTTGATACACTATTTTTAAGCATAATAAATTGTATTTTAAATACTATTGCTCTTCCGAAACTAAAAAATATAATGGCTAACTACGCGATAGCAAAAGAAATATAATCATGAAAATAAATTATAAGAAAACATTAAAAATTACAACGTGATAAAAGTATTTTTTTCGTATTTTCACTGAAACATCAAGTGGCGGCAATTGAATTTTATTTTCACAGAAACGGAAACAACCATTTCTTTATCACTTTGACGAAAAGAAAATAAAATTTGCATTTTTTAACCCAGGACGGTGGCAATATCACACAGATGACAGGAGGTAAAAGAAAAATTTACAAAGAAATAAAAAGAAAACAATAATAAAAACAACAAAAAAACAACACAGCTTAAATTGTTTAGAAAAAGATTTTTGTTGCTGAAGCATTTGTTGCGTGTCATTAAAGTTTCATCAACGCCACAAATGAAAACAAAACAAAATGCCACAGGGACAAAAAGTCCTTCCTTCATACAACGGTACTCAACGTCATACTTTACCTTACCTCAAACCAAACCCAAAAAACCAAATTAGATGTTTTAGATTTGTTGATATAAATATAAAGGGATGTTACTTTCTTCTGATGCTGTGTGTCAAATGGAAGGTAAATACTTTGGTTGTGATGTCTAGCACGTTGTTGTGTTGCCTGTGGGAAGGGGTAATAACAAGTTAACAGTCCTTGAACTTCCTACTCTCAGTCATCATCAGAGTCATATTTAAGATGTATTTTTGTTTATTTGTTTGTTGTTAGAGATGTGCGTAACAAAAATACTTTAAGGTTTTTATAGCAATTTTTGCTGATGTTGTCATTTAATTTCTTCCTTTTTTTCTGGGTAAGAAAATCATATGGTTTGTGGTGTAACCAAGGCAAATGTACTCTTGACAGATAGAAAAAAATGTCCAATCCCTAGTCATGATACACTTTCTCATACTTACACTTTAGATTTGTTCTGTTGCACATATAATCATCCATAAGAAATCTGTTATTGCTTTTAGTTGTACGCACCATAAAAAAAGGGTTAACATGAAGAAACTTCTTCCTTGATGTTACCACAATCACATGTACAGATGTAGGTTTATTAGGGAGGTTATTTTTTTTATTATTTTTGTTTGATATATCTATCGGAAGGGTGGATCAACCTGCAACTTGATTATATCTCAAGCACACCTTTATGATTAAGAAGACATTTCGATCTTATTACGTTTGATTAAGAGAGAGACAGAGAGAGTAAGCCAAACATATCAGAGAAAAATACCGAGAAGTAGGGTTATATATATATATATATATATATATATATATATATATATTCTAGCGCTTCTAATGAATATTCAGATTATGATCGTACAGTGACCAATCAGATCTAGAGAGAGCTTTGAGAGAATTTAAAATTATACATATGTTTTTTATGTATATGTGTTCAAGAAACCACCTTAATGTACGTGTGGCTCGGTATTTTTATGGAGGTAATTGTATGAATGTGTGTAATGTCCAGAAAGTATAAAACAAGAAAAACTATAATAAATACATTTTTAAGAAACAAAAGGCAACTACTGCATAAACAAAATAGAATAATAAAAACTTCGTGAAACTATAATCGATAGTAAACGTTTTACAAAATACCCTACATTTAGTAACGATTCATCATAAATAGGCAAATCATTTATAAACTCTGAGTCAACATCGAAGTCTAATGTATTATTAAAGATCTCTATTATTTCTATTTATAGAAAAATTTTACTTAAGTTTCGATAAATTTCTTTTTTATAGAAAGTTTTGATAGAATTTTCTTTTTATAGAAAATTTTCGATAGAATTTTCTTTTTCATAGAAAATTTTCGATTAAATTTTCAATGAAATTTTATTTTTATAGAAAATTTTCGATAAAAATTTTCTTTTTATAGAAAATTTTCAATAAAATTTTCTTTTTTAATAAAATTTTCTTTTTGATAAAAAATTTTCCA